AGTATCCTCCCAGAAGCTCGCCAACACGTCTCGGCCAACACGGTGCCCGCTGCCCCCAAGCCCGTGGTCGAATGCCCCAAACCTGCCCCGGCTCAAACTCCGAAAGGATTCACGCCGGAGTTCAAGGACGAATCTAAATTTTTTGATTTCTGTTGTAGGTTGGTTGCAGTAGCAATTAGTTCCAGATCCAAGGCTGGTGAAATCAATCCAAAGGACGTTATGGACGCAGTATCAAGAGTATGTGCCGACAATGTCACGAATCTACAACCACCAAATAAGGATACCAAACCAAAGAGGAAGAGATCCAGCACGGATGTTCCGAAGACTGACGTAGTGGGTCAATCAGTGGAAACGCCAAGAAAAGTAAAGGCGGTATCCACGAGTGGCCAACCTCGTCAGTCAAGGAGCATCTGCAGAAGTACAGGCTCCAGACCCGTGACTGAGCGCTCTAGAAGCACTTCGCTAGCTAGACCACTGCCCACTGGCTCAGTAACGGAAATGGACGTAGAGGTTTTTACGGCACCCCAAACCCCATGCTAAAACCATACTGAACCAAAAAGTCATTAATTATTTTACATTCAATTTCAGGTTCATACAGCTGAACATCAATGGTTTGAACGTACCTGAACGAAAGACCCAACTGGTACAGCTACTACAAAGGAAGCAGTATGATGCCGCTTTTCTCCAAGAGTCCAAGCTCGGTTCAAGGAATAAAGACCCTATCATCAATGGTTATACCTTGATCAGATTAAACAGACCTAATGCTCTCAACCATCGAAGTGGTGGGGGTCTGGCCATCTACATCAAAAATGGTATATCCCATAGTGAGGTTCCTCTGAAAACCATCGCTCCTCTGGAGGCACAGGCGGTATCCTTTACCGACAAGTCAAAGGTTTTTTCTATCGTTAATATTTATCGACCCGAAGTCAAAGGCAAACCTCAACGATTCAGTGAATATCAGTATGTTTACGATCAGTTGCCCGGGACCGACAATATTGTGCTTGGTGATTTTAACGCCAAACACGTATTGTGGGGCTCGCCAACAACTGACACTAATGGTAGACAAGTTGCTGAGTTCATTGAGGCCAATGACCTGGTTAGCATAAATGATGGTAGCATTACTTATGTTGGTGCAATTGCTCCTCTTGGTTCGCATCTCGATCTCACATTAGTAAGCAGTCGGTTAGCTAAAGACTGTACGTGGGAAGCAACCAGTGAGACCCTTGGAAGTGACCATGT